ATCAACAAGGCCAACTTGCCTAGCTTAGCGAGCTCAATAAATAAGTTTCAAGTGTCAATGACTAAAAGGCCATTCAACAAAGCACCTATAGGGTAATAAGCATGGCTAAGCATTTCTACTCTACCAGATTACTATATAATTCTACTCGGGTGTCAAGTGAATAGACGACAAGCGGATCAGGGTAATGTGTCAATCGACACACTAGCTACGAGAATTAAAATAGCATGCATATAGTAACCATAAAACACAATGAAATTTTGTAAACATAGGATAAGTATGATCAAAGAAGGAGGCATGCCTTCGTTGTTGAGTCCTTCTTCGGTAACCTGTTTCTGTCCTTGTCCAACCTCGCCACTCCTTACTCGTCGTAATGATAGCAAATGGAAAACGAATAAATACCAAAACAATAATAAATCCAAATAACATCCCAAAACAAATTAAGAGTGGATGGATAGCAAGATATCGATCAGATGGAGATTCTGAAATGAGATAGCATGATAGGGAGGTAAGTAGAGAGGATTCAACGAAGTGACAAGGTTTAGGTTGACACAACTATGGAAGGCTTGGAGATCAAGACCAACATTCTAATATTAACTAATAGTGCCCACCACACATCACGACTTAAGGAACTACTATATAACAAACACAATAACATCAACACACATGGAATGGAACCGACGTATGCATTTTAACAACACAATCACAACATGACATGATAAAGGTAATAGTTAACCACAATTAGATATTTAGATAGAATCTAAATATTTATAATGGTCAATAGAATCCAAACATATATGTTAACTCTATAATAACTCCAAACAAGTGTTCTATACGACAATCAAAGCAACATTATAAAACATAATAGTTAACCGAGCAAAACATCATTCAGCAACATGTGAATTGATCTCGGTCTAGCGATAAAACATTATTAAAAAAAATAGGATCAACTCTATTATAACAAACCAATTTATTTGTCAAACAATTAACAAGAAACTATACAAGACCTGGATCAAAAGAGTGAACTACTATCCAAGTATCCATACATGATATGATTAAGATTAATGATCAACCACAAGTAAATACTTGGATGTATCCAAATATCTATAATGGTTAACAATAAGCAAAGACCAAACACCAATCATAACAACTATTAGCAAGCATTTCTATAACAAAAGAAAAACCAATGCTATCACAAAACTAATTGAAAAATTAAATAATCAGACACATCATACAAGGCATGTGAGTATAGAATCATGAAGAGGTCTTATCTAATAACACAAGCATTAAACATATGAATGACCATGAGAAGATACTAAACTAGGACACTCTTTATAATAAAGGAAAGAAATAATATCCAAATGACCTCTAGCAAAAACATTACCACAACATGATTAATAACAAAGCAACAATGTGCACTAAGCATATGAGAAAGACACAACTCAACTATTGAAAGGTAAACTATCCTAATCATGTGATGAGCTAATGCAACATGTACCAAACACTCATAACACTAACATGAGACAAGTCAAGCATATATGAGAAACACAAGTACAACTATGCCACATGGAATATAATAACACATGAAAGATGACTAGCATGACTTGATGTCTAGAATTTCGCATACCACAAATGCAACAGTAAGATAGACCAGATATGATGCTAAGCATGGATGATCATCACACGAGATACCAAAATATGATACCAATATATAGAATACAACCCACATCAATGGGATAACTTAGTTGATATCAACTACCATGAATATCCAAAATGGCAAGAGCACACATACTAGTTATGTCATATAAGCATTTGGGCATACCATACTGCATTGAGGCAAGTAAATAACTAGATCATGGCATCTACCAATTCAACATGTGTTATACTCGCATGAGTAAGAAAGTGGCATGTATCTATATTTAGCTCATCCAACACTAGCAAGTACCTAAAGTACACAACTAGGCACCATACGACATAAAAATTGGTACACACACATGATGCTATCTAATTATGCAATCACAACAACATGGCACAATATTGAACAAGCAAGAAGTTATTTGATAAAAAAAAGTACGAAATCAACAAACTAGTATCATGTGAATCGTCTCAATGAAGGCTAACCATATGTGCAATCACACGGTAGTCCATACTAGTAGTGCTATAACACATGGTAGGAGACAAATAAACAAGCATTCTACTTGAAGCAATTGTTAACATGGCGTGGCAATGAACTAAGATAAATAAACACACATCAAACAATTATCAAAAGTAATGATAAAGGTTATATGCCATAAGAGTAAATTCTATATAGCAATACAAATATGAACCATGTCATAAAGCAACCAACCATGAATCTAGAATGGTGACATATAGGAACAACTACACAAAATGTGTTATGCCATAGGGTACTATTATGGAATTGTTCTAAATTAACATATCACTTCATTTAACATCTAGAACCTAGCATAAAGAAAACTATGCAAAATCACACACGATAAATACCTAAACAACTATCATAGGCATGACATGATTTCAAACCAATAAAACAACACGTGACATGGATGAAAATGAACATGTGAACCATATCTAAGATATACCAATTCTAAGCAACAATTAAAATTAATCAAGACATGAAGTAATTAATGATTCAATGAACAAAGCAAAGCCTAGAATAATCTATAGAATTTAAGCATGGCGAACACTCAACAAAAATTGTACACATGCATAAGATAGCGCTACATGCTATGCAACAATATCACATGAGACAATTTACAAATATATAATAGGTAAGTAAAAGAAATCCTTACAATAGATCTAGTCAGTCACATCTAACAACTAAAATTATGAAATAATTATGAGCGACTCCTAGGCATGTCATGAACATATAAAAAATATCAAACCAACACAAAAGTTTACTGATCAACTACCACACATAATAATAATTTGCCGAAACTTGTACATAGTAAAATCATACGACTACATACCCCATGAAAGAAATATCGAATAACTATAATTGGTAAAATAAATAAATCAAGCAATCATATATATACGAGACACACAAATTATGAGATAGCTAGCACACACTCCTACGCGTATCAAGAACACAAGAAAATAACATATTAATAAATAGTCCGATAAACAACCAAAAATCTATAATAAAACTCGATTAACCAAACAAGTAACCTAACTCCGCTACGGGATTGCTACAGCCATATGAAACGTTTCTTCTACTGGGGAGATCAAACGATGAACAAAAACGATGGAAATGTGACCATGACCTACGATTTATGCGATGGATAGCATCCACGCGCCCAACGATAAAAATAGGAGGAACTATGATGTCTAGGAGATAATTTGAATGATATTTTGAAGTCGCACAAAAGGAATTGGATAGAAGCTCACCGAGCGCGACGAATCGATCCGACGAACTCGATGAACAGTGTAGACGAACATGCTGAATTCTTCGTGTGTGATCGACGGGACATGTTCCCTCTTTCCTGAATGGAATCATGGTGTGCAGGGGAACCTTCTGGCGCAAGGGCATGGATGGAGATGGTCTGAGTCACCGGGATCGAAACCTTGCGTCCATGGAGCTTCAAAAGTTTAGTGAGGGTTCTTGGGCAGAGGAGGAATAGAGAGGGCATGAGGACTCATGGGAATGAGAAAGGAGATCGTGGTGGACGTCTAGGTATCTTCAAAACTGAAAAGGATTGAGATTTATGGGAGTTGAGGGGAGGGCATGAGAGTGGTGAACGTTTTTTCTTCTCTGTAATGTGTGCGAGTACATGCGGGTGGAGGAAGAAGAAGCCCTTGAGGTGGAAGAAGAAGTGGAGGTGCATGGTAAGCCTCTCCGTTTTAGAAACCGATGGGTTTATGGAATTAAGGAGGGCAGCAAATTCCTTGTGTCCTTTCCTTTTCTACATGTTGATGTTTCCTCTGAACGTACAAAAAAAGGAAAAGAGGGGTTCGCTCGGGAGAGATGGGCCAGTTTGGCCAGCCCATAAGGTAGAGGGATGGGTTGCCACAGCCCAACATAGTTAGCAAGAAAATAAAAATGGGCATGGCCCAATCGGGCGAAAGAAAATGAGAAAAGAAAGAAATCAGATTGTACCTTGGAAAATTATGGCCAGGGTTTGATAGAGAGAATAAGTAATCAGAAATTGATTTTCCTTTTAGAAAATGAAAATCTAGAAAGGGATTAAAGTTGGAGCAATAGCAAACAACTTTAAAAAAATAGTGACGCATAATTTAATATGCCAGAGGCAATAAAATAAACCCAACCACAAGAGAAGAACAAAACTGCAATTTTAATTTAGGTTGGTATTAGTCAAATTAAATCCTTCAAATTATAAAAGTCTAATTTAAACTTTCTAAAAAAACAAATGAAATTTTCTCGCCTTGATTTTTGGAAAAAGAGAATCGGGATGTTACATTATGTTGTTTCTATGATGCCCATGTTTTAGATTTGGCGCAGCGAGGCGCATGAAAAACACACGCTGCCTCCTCCTTCTAGTTCCTTACAAAAATCTGAAGAAGAGTCGCTCGTGTCCTTACAAGTTCTGCTTTGAGTTGGGCGTAACAGAGGCGAAGAACGCCTGGAACAATTTCACCAGACAAAGAGACAACCCAGAGCAATCAACCGTTGTAGTACCATCTTGAAGAGCGGTTGAAGCACAATAGCAAACCAAGTCGGGGCATCCCCAGCATCAGTGGAATTTCCACGTCGCACGCAGAGATGGGACGTTTCATTAATCCGCTGCCGCTCTCTCAGCTCCCCCTATACATCACACGCACGTACGGCACAATCTCAAGCCACGGATCGGTAATTTCTACTGAATCAAAGCCCAAACCCTCGTCAGATCGCGTCGAGCGAGGCTGCTGGCAGAGCACACGAGCCAACCAACCAGCCAGCCCCAATCAGCGTCCGTTCGATTATAGTACACCGGCGATCGTCGGCGACAGGCACACCAACATAGTAAAGCTCGCTCTGGGCGGCGGCTCGCTCATTGCGCGCGCTCTCTGATGACGTCGAAGCCCATCTCGGAGCGCTCGGTGGCCTGCACCTCGTAGTGGACCCCCTCCAGCACCCGCCGCAGGCCTTGCTTCGACGTCGCGTACAGGATCTTGGCCCTTATCCTCGACGCCGCCGGCGACCTGAATGAAGAGAAAAACAAAGCAACAAATCATCGTCATCAACCAATCGAGTAATGCATGCATGCATCCTAATCCCACTGAATTATGACGAAACTACTTTGTATGTACTCGTGTGAGGCCGATGCACCAGCAGCAGTTGCCATCGAACAAAGCCAGAGCGCTTTAACAAAAGGAGACCGGCTGCTGGTGGACAATGGAGAATGGACACTCGACAGGCTTGCTAACCTAACACTACTTAAATAGCCAGTTCTGCTGTCAAGTGCTTTAATCGTGCTTGCTTTTGATAAGATAATCCAAGGAGGACAGGAGGAACTGATTGATCAAACTGCCCACTTTCGATTAAGCGCTCCCAGTGAAATGTTGACCGAAAGACAATCGTAAAAGGTTACTCGTATGGGCGGTGCCTGCTTTCGATGAGGGGCGATAAATCTAATATACAAGGACAGGCAGATCTGCACAACAGATGGATACAGGTCTCCAGATCTGATCTGATTAAAGAGCCCGCCCGCCCTAGCTGTGGGGGTTAAGAGAAAAATAATGCAGCGAAGAGTACTAAAGACAACAGTAACAAAGATGCCGCGGCAAGGACAAAGCAAAGCAAGAAAGAGAAGCATGATGATGGCCCTGCCAAGAAAGTTTGGCCCCCGTCATGATCTCGACCAGACCTGCGTTTGAGTTTGACAAGGCAGCGGGGGGTATGGGCCAGACAACCAACCTTTGTGGAAAATGGAAAAAGCTTGATGCGTGTTCGGCGTTCCTCCTTTGCGATAAGGATACGGGGCTGATTGCAGAGTCATCTGGTCTGCAGATTTCCTGTCAATTTCTCTGGCTACCTTGGTCGTCTGGTGTGAGCATATTGAGAGGAGATGCCCCCCATATCATCTTAATTTTAATTCTGGGCTTCTGTCTCAGTGACGATGCAATGTGTGGTTGCTTGATTGCGATTTTGTTTGGTAGTAGTTGGTAGGACTATGGTCAATTGATGTACTAGTAATTTGCACCTGCGTCATGTAATTACTACCAACTTGGCGTTAGTGCGTTATATAGTGCAGAGGACCAAAGAGGATTTGGTATCTTGGCTAGTTTCTTGCTGGCAGCTGCCGTGGTTTATGAATGGCTTGACTTGCATGTCTTGCAAGAAATTGATGTAAAACCTACGGTTCGGACAATCAAAGCTGTTTACAATACACATACAGTGTGCAGCCAGCAAGGAATGCTTAGCCGCCAGAACCAAGAAACCATCCAGCATCGCAGTATCCGCATCAATAATTATAATTCGTAATCAGTATGGCTAATAACCGAGATCAGCCGCCATGATTTTACTCGATTCGGCGGTGAACAAACGAGAAGAAGGGAGTGAGTGGAATTAAGGGAGGGATCCAGGCGAAGAATTACCATGCGATGAAGAAGATCTTGCTCTTCTGGCAGTTGTCGACGGAGACGAAGTCGAAGTCGAAGACGGCGTAGCGGCAGTCGTCGCCGGGCAGCGCGGCGACGAGCTCGTCGTACCCCTCCCCGGGGCCGCCCACCTTGTCCACCAGCACGGCGCGCGTCCGCTCGTCGATCTTGTACACCACGAAGCGGTGCACCTTCTTCCACTTCATCTCCGTGAACCACCGCTTGCACTCCTCCTTGATGTTCATCCCCTCCGTCGCCTGCACGCACCATCGGTCGTTTCAAATTTCTCCCCAGACACGTGAAGGAAAGCGGCGGTGGCCAAGGCCTGGATGGGTCCTTACCATCTTGTAAGCCATTGCCATGGCTGCAGGTCGTCGCCGGCGAGGACGAGGAACGGAGGGAAGGATCGGTGGGTGGAAGAAGGGAGGGGTTCTTCCTTGGCGCCGCGTTGGTTGCTTGAGGCTTGAGTAGGGTTGCCTGCCCCTTGGCCTTGTAATGGGTGTGGGTTTGGTCCGCCTGTCTCTTGACAATTAGGTGAGGCGGGGCAGGGTCGGCTTTATACAAAAGAAGTGTGGCGAGCAGCCCAAAATTCCATTCGCCTCCTTTTATTATATATAAAAAAACAAAATGAAAAGGCGAGGATGCAAATGCAACTGGGGGTACGGGCGTCCCTCCCACACATGCCTTCCTTGTGCTGCGTTGCCTGTCCATTTCTCATCTCAACAATAAAAAAACAGGGATAACTTTTTGTGATACAGAAGAATTATTATCCCCTTTTACAAATAAGGAATTCTTGTTACTTTGTACTGGATAGATATCTGAACAAGTGAATGGATATCCCTTCAAGATAACAGTCTGGCTGCCTAGATTGCTCCACCGTCGTCGTTAATCATCGGTTCTTATCCAATGAGCGCGCCTTTTACATAATCACATTCACCCGTTAATATGACGAAGATGTGACACGCCACAGCGAGGAGCAGTAGCACGCAGTGGCGTGCAATCATCGTCATGGCGATCTGAATTACCACCAATGATGGTGCCGTCGGCAAGACGATCCTGCACCAAGATTCGCGCTGGTCACCGGCGTACGCGACCGCGGGGCATGGAAGAAGCTACCGCACGCCCCGCCTAGCATCTACGCAGGCTCGTCGTCATGACCCGTGCGTGCCCATTCTTTGCTTCCAAGGGAAGAAGAAGAAGGGGGCAAAGGTGAAAGAGTCTCACCAATTCGCCATTTGCCGCGAGAAAAGAAGAGAAAGCGGCGGCACTCCTCTCCTCGATGCTTTTTCCGTTTTTCCTCGGTTTCACGTGTGCGTCGGTGACCTCACACATTTGCTGGTGCGCAGGACAGAGCCCTTTTTTCTCTTTTATTATTATTATTTCTAGGTGGGACGAGGAGACCCGCTGGCGCGAGATTGAAAGCTGCTCGCGGTCGCGCACCGGCCGTGCGGGGCTGCGTTTCTCCAACCTCCCGATTGATGGCCGATTTATGAGGTGCAGAAGTGGTACCGCCGCATGGTCACCGGTGGCATTACTTTCTGGCGGGCCGGCGGGCCAAACAGTACGGAGTAGGAGTACGTAGTTGTGAAGATCCTCGGAAATCTGTTTGCGTAAATACGGATCGCGCCAACTAAATGGAGCCCGGTTTTTCATTTTCCTTTGAAGATAACCACGAATCTCGTTAAAGCCAGCCAGCCAGCCAGCCTTTTCTAGAATCGCTAGAGTCAGGTAGGCAGGGCTGAAAATGATGAGCCTGCTTTGCTATTATGTCTGCTCCGAGTAATCGTCATCTTTTGGCGCTCTGACGTGCGCGAGTGCTCACTCATGAGCCATCGGGTCGTAGGCGGCTCTCCAGTGCTGATGTTTCCTTTCGTTTCAGTTGATTCCGCGTCAATGTGAAACACCACAGACCACGCGGGTAAAAGATGGAATCATGTTTTCTCAGACTGAAAATAAGCGCCAGTTACGATTTTCAGGTTCAAAATCAATTTAACCCAGCAAAGTCTCACGATCCCGTCGCATTTTACTTTGCTTGTACGCAATTCTTTTCTTCTTCTCTCAATTTCTCCTGTGACTTGTGCCCACGATTCAATTGATTTTGTATTGCGTACACTCGCAAAAAAAAAGGATTTCGTATTGCGTAATAATTAATCATTTTTAGTTGCGTCAACGACTGAACCACGGCGCGCACTTATTATTCGGACGCGATCAGAACGCCGCGTCCCCTAAATAAATGCCGACGTGCAGCGGTAGGACCCCCGGTGACAGAAGGACGACAGAGACACCGACGCGCGGGTCAAATACAAACCGACACGGATGCGGTATTGCGTCTGCACACAGTATCTGCACAGAAGGGCTCCGGTGACGTGGAGGGCATGAAGATGGGGATCGGATCAACGCTCGCCGACGAGGAGACTCGGCCAAACGCTGACAGCTTACCTGGGCCAGGAAAATCTCATCTTCATGGGCGCGAGTGCGCGACACGCTCGCCGGTTCTGCACGCGCGAGCCGCCGCCGCCGACGACGAACGGGAAGGACGCCAGCGCCGGCTGGAAAAGGGGCCGGAGAGCGACGGGTCGTCGTCTCGCCGTCGGTCTGCAGTGGAAGAAGAAGAAGAACAAGAGAAACGCGACGAGGGTCTCCTGTCAGTGCTGTACCCGCTTGCTGGCCAAAGGCGGGGCACCGGCTAGAGGGTCCTAGGGTGATTGCCTACGGAGAGTCGCTAGCGGACGCTTTGGGGGCTTTGTCTAACAGGAATCAGAGGACGGGAAGGCCGGAGAAGCACCCGCTTGGCTTCGTGTGGTTAGCGTCCAAATGCAGTGCTGTAATTAGGCGCGGACGCGTCAGTGACTGCATGGATTGGTGCTGGAAATGGCGATGTGACTCGTCAATCAATCGGTGGAACTATACAGGCAAATAGGCTAAAGCCGCGAGAGAGTGGATTTTTGAAGCCGGGGTGTATTGGAGGACTTTATTTTAATTACTTTACAAATCACATTTGAAGTTTCAAAAAAATTCCGAAAATAATTCTACGTGATCATATGGATGTATATTACACCTGTGTAAAGTTTGGTGAAGAAATAAGTAAACATGTGAGCTATACAAAAATGACAAAATGGTGATTTCTAAATAGTGAATAATGCATGCATTGTTCATCTTTCTAAATTCATCATTTTGTCTTTTTTATGTAACTCACATGGTTACATATTTCAGCATAAAAAATTGCACATGTGTAATACATGTCCATATAAATGTGTTGATACATTTTCAGATTTTTTTTTTGGAAACTTCAAAGAAGCATTTTGGCACTATTCAACATATAGGTCTCCAATGCACCCGTTCTCCAAAGTGTTTTTGAAAGCCGCGACAAGTAATAAGGATTAGAGAGAGTACAAATTGTATTAAAGTTAAGACATTTATTTTAAAACGAAGAAAGTACTGCCTACAAATTATAGTACAACGGAATTCGTATTATTAAGTTTTAGTAATTAAACCACAAAGGGGGATGTCTTTGGAATATTGCCCGACAAATAGGCCCTGGATGCTCTAAGAAAATATACCCGTCTACTAAGGGCATCTACAAGCTGACCCCTCAAATTGTTTTTAAACATTTAGAATAGTCTGATTAAAAAATCACCTAATCGGATTCCTCAAAGTCAACCCAAACGTATGACGTATGGATTGTCCGACACCTCTAAAACCTGTCCATACATTCGATGGATTTTGTATGTCTGGGCGGTGTCCACCACGTCAGACCATCCCACTTCGACCCCACATATATCATGTCCATATTTGTACCCCTGACCAAATCTTAGACATATTTGGAGTACCATTACATTCCACTTCCAGTCCACTCCACCCAGCTCCTCTGGTGATTGTTGATCATTTTTGACATGGTGGGCAACGGTCTGAGTTTGGCAACTCCGGATCCGTCGACTAGGACCCCGTCCCCTGCACGAACGAGGAGTTCTTGCACCCATATGTTCCCTTGGGGCATATTTTGAACTTCTTGATCGTTTTGCATGGATCCAGGAAGAGATCCAATAGAGACCGCTGAGCTCAAAGGATTAGAGCACATGTACATTCAGGCACGAATCTCCTCAATTACTTGTTCCAATTTTACATATCGATTATTTCAATCTACTTCCTCCGTTCCAAATTACTTGTCACAGGTATGAATGTATCTAAATGTATTTTAGTTTCAGATACATTTGTTTTTGCGGCGAGTAATTTGGAACCGAGGAAGTAGAATCAAGCTTTTTGAGGGATTCAAGGGTTTGCAAACGAGAGACTGGACACGAACATAAGATACTGGTCCTGTTGAGGTTAGATTTAAATTCTAACCCTGAACTAACCCTGTTTGGATGGCAGAGTTAGATGGAGCGCGGATACGGCAAGGCACCTTCACAAACAGTGCGAGAGGGGGGAAGTGAGAGGACGAGAAGCTTCGAGGAACTGAAGAGGGATTTGCTGTGGCGAGAGCAAGAGAAAAAAATGTTGATCCCGAAAAAAACTAACCCAAATAAGCACCTCTTGAGTGGGTTAGATTTTTTGAATGGGTTAGATGCATCTAACCCTCCTGTTTGGATATTTCTGGGTTAGTTGAGTCCAATGTAACTCTAACATATGAATCCAAACAGGGCCACTGTGGTTGTAGATGCTCTAAGCTAGCATGTCCCAACCTACTGACCGGGACCAGTGGGGCAGATACAACAATGCCCTACTTCAACGATGCTAGGTGCTAGCTACAAGCTGTCAATGTGTTCAATTTCACCTTCAACAGACATAAAGTGTACAAATGAATTTGCAACATGTAATCACTTAAGACAAACATGAAGGAGCATTCGTGAGAGCAGACATAATACAAGTTCTCTCGGCAGTTATCATCAACGCAGTTACAAGAGGATTAAGTAAATTCATAGAGCCCGAGTGTAAAAGCAGCTAATGCAGGCAATCTTCTTCACTTCATGCGCCTGCACTTTTCCGAGAAAATAGATGTTCATTGCCTTCAGTTCTTCCCATCTTCAGAAATGTCTGGCTTGTCCTCCTTATCTTTCTTCTCCTCCTGCTGCCAGACAAATGTTAGTCAGACTTGGTAAAGATTGTGCAGAAAACAATAAAAGATATAGATGCATGGTAAAGAAATCATGATTACTACATAAATCACATTGCATAATAAATCTATCAACTAACCAATATTTTACTACTAAGCTGCTTAATAAATATTGCGGTGATACCATTTTTATGGACATGACTATAGCTGTACTCTTTAACAAGTTCAGCATTTCCCTTGTCTGAAGATGACATGATACAAACTGTTACTTATTTATTGAATTTTGCAGGTAGTTTTGTTTGCCAGTCACCATAAGAACTAGATCCTTTGAGCATACCAAATGAAAGATGGCATGAACCAAATGACGAGGGTACAACTCTAGCACTCAAAACTGTGGACAAGAACACTGTTACTGTGTTACATCATGCCATCACTGGACTAGAAGAACAAAAGGGGAACTCATAAGGATAGGAGAGAGGTAAAGATCTTTACCTCTCCTTGGCCATGCAAAGATGCCAGTAGATCTTTCACAGATGGGTCATTGGGGTCAACACCAGGAAGCTGAAATAAGAGGCGATGGGGAACCAATTATAAGCAACTGAAACTGCTAAATTCATGTTTACATGACACTGGTTTTAAGTTTTAACTTCTATGAGAAGGCTTACCGAATTAAGGATGGATGTCACAAATGATCTGTCTTCAAACACTTTGCTCATATCAGATTGACCAGCCGCCTCAGCGTCCTGGACAGACATTTGAAGAGCTGCATGCAGCATAGAAAAATACACATCAGAACATGTAAACATTTCGATCTGAGGCTAAGACAGAAGTTCTGCAAGTCTGCATTATATAACAACTAAGAAAAAGACATAATTATACATAATTTATACATATGTACATAAGGGACAGGAGAAATTCAACGTGAAATATGTGGACATTTTTAAAGATGATATGACAGCAGCAGGAATCTCTGAAATTTATCTTTTGAATATTTGCTGATATTTTACATGAGCGCATACTGCTAAGGTTAGTTAATGCTAATCTTCAAGGTTTCTTCACAAAAGAATTGTTCTTTTCTTTTCTTTCAGCTCAGGTGCAACTTTTCGGTACAGTTTGGTTGGCGATCATCAAACAAGCAAATAGCCAGGCAGAGGGTGTGGTCTATGAGTTTCAGTGAAATTGCATTATAAGCAAATATTTTCCTACAGAAGGATAAATATGGGACAAGCTGATGCTAGAGATTGGTACTTCAAATTTAATAATCAAAATTGGCATAAGAAATAGAAGGACCTACCCAATGCCAAATCCTGGTCATCTGCAGCAGCTTCTGCCATAGCAGCATCAGCCACGGCTGCAGCTCCTGAAGCACCCTCATCCATTGACATAGCAAGTGCTTGCTGTAGTAGCTGAGCATCATCATCATCCTGTGGGTTACAATATTATCAATCTGATATCAATAGAATAAGATATAGCTGAAAACAGAATAATACCACCCACAAGATTTATCAGCAAACCAAATGATTGCTATATTTTCTTTTGGGGCGATTAACAGTTGTAACCTAGTTCTATAGTAGTTACAAACCAAGAAAGAACTAGGTAAGAAGTTGCATCAATGATACTTCATTTTCAAAGCATATTGTTAAATGGATGTGTAATCAAAACTTGGACGTGTATTTACGATTATGAGTGCAATGACAAACAAACAAATCAACTTTTTTTGCTTCTCTATAAAAAGTTACGCGATAGTGTTATACATGTAGATCACTAGGAAATACAGAAGCACCATTATTAGCAGATAAAATATTGTACTAGGCAGTCCATAAGCATGGTGAAGCTAAAACAGATCTAGTTTATTATGATATAGTATTACTCCAACTTGGAATTAGGCATTGGATGATGAAAATACCTTGAGTAGATCTGCGTCAACATCAGCAGGAGCATTTAAGGTAAGTTCCGCTTCAGCCATAATAGCATCGGTAGAGCTTGAGGGCTGATCCTTGTTGTCTTCTGCAGCCTTTTTCGCGATAGCCTCTTGCCTAGCTCGCTCTTCCTCCATAGACAACCGTAGGGCAAGTGCCAACTCTGGGTCCACATTTGGGTCCACGCCAAAATCATATCCAGTAGCTCCGGTGGCTGCAGCAGCTGCTGCAGAAGCAGCAAAGCCACTTCCACCTTCTTCGCCAGTAAAGATAGGAGTGCTGTGAAACAGGTAGGGGTTATAAGGTGGTCAGCCAAAGTACATTGTCATATCAACCTAGAGCCCTAAGGATATGAAAGAAAGTTAGTTACCTTATAAGAACATCAGAAAGGGCATGGTCACCCGGAGGGACGTGGACGATGTGGCTGCTATCACTGCTGTTCACAGCAGCGATCAGCGCTTCCAGTTTCTCAGGCTTTTCATCATCAGTTTCACCAAAATCAACAACGTCAAGGGCAACATTATTCTTCTTCAGCTTCTTCCCTATTGTCTCCAAGACCTTCTTGTCGTATGTCACAGGGCTGAGATATGAGGGCAACAAAATTAGCTATAATTCAGACAAAATAGGGTCCATGGATGTTATCTTGCTCATATTTGCTCAACATACCTTCCAATGAAAACAATAATTCTCTGCTGTTGCCTCTTATTCTGGCGATGCTTTAGCGCCAGCTGAGCAACCTGAATAGCCGCGGCCAAGTTTGCTTCAGCTCCAACTTCCAGCCCTGTGCATTGAATTGTTGGATATCAATTAGAACTACAATTCCTACTTTGCTAGCATATTTTGTGAAAGAAAGGCCTACTAAGGGTCGTACTGCCAACAAACGGCATCCAAAAGGCTACACCAAGCCCGACGAGCTTACACAGTTACATTGAAACCCTAAACTTCTGCGCCAGCACGGGGTAACGGCGGAAATTGGGGTACTGACGGGAGCTTACCGTGCATACAGGCGAGGATCTTGCCGAGGTCGCTGGTGGGGGTGACAAGCACGCGCACGCCCTTGCCGGCCATCGTCATGACGCCCACCGTATTCTCCGGGTTCGACTGCAAGAGGCCACCGACAAACGAGTCAGATCCGGAACACAAAACCCTAGCCCACACACAGCGAGACGGGACCGGGTCGACCAATCGGGTCGGAGGGGGCGCGGTACCTGGGTCTTGGCGCCGCAGATGAGGTTGACGGCGTCGGCCTGCGCCTGGAAGCGGGACGGCGAGTAGTCGCCGTTCCGCATCCACTCCGAGTTGTCTATGCAGATCATCGTCGACTGCAGAAGGAGGGGAAACCAAACAAACGGTGAGAAATCGCTAGGAATCGAAGCTTGGCGGAGGCGATCTGGAAGGCCGGCGGGATGTACTGACCTCGAGCACCATGGTTGCGCCGCTGTGAGTCGCTGCGGTCGAGGGTTGGGTTCGGGTTGGGGAACAAGCTGATCCAAGGTGGGGAGGAGGGTGGAGTTCTTATTTGCGGTGTCGCCTTCGTGGACGTGGATTGCTTTCCGAGGAGGACACCGATTCAGGCTCTGTGCGCGTCGGTCCGGCCCGCGGTGGAACCGGACTGTTCTCTTACCTGTTGGGCCTTTTTCGAAGGCCCATTAAACAAAGTCACGAAAATTGATCTAGTCTCGATTTTTTTTTCGCCAGTACCGTCCTGACTTTCAACCGGGTTTTTGCCATTGGTCCTACGGTACAACTTCATCATATCTGGCCTTCACATATCCCACTAGTAAACGTTGTTACGAGCTACAATGCATACTTCAAATCACAGATCTATCATACACTTCAGCAATTTCATTGACCAATGAGTGAATAATTATTTGGTACCGCAATGCTGCAATTTCTTCTATGTAACAGCCCAGATGAAAAGAGAATAAAGTCTCCATCTTGAGTGTAGCACATGAAGTTCAATGGGGCAGGGTCATGTTTCTTCATTGAAATATTGTTAGGGCATATTTCTTTTTTAATGGTTTTGATGATTGATGACAATGCTTTTGTTGACTAATCGTGTGCGTTGAGCATTTCACATACATCTATCTTATGGCACAAGACGATTTGAACCCCTCTGGAGATTTATAAAGACGATGTTTTCTTGCGTTTCTTTTTTGGTGGATTTGAGTCGTAGGAACACCGTACTATTAAGAGGGGGTCCGCTTCGGAAAGGTTTGGGTGGAATCTTCACGTGCACTTTCCTTGCACCCTGTTTCCTTTCCCCGCATTTGAGCTTGTTCATCCTTATGTTTGAACCTTGGCAGAACAGGCTAAGCGGTAGTACCGCTTCTCACAACGATAGTACCGCTCCAGCGACACTGCTGCTGTGTAGTACGGCTCCTACTCCCGCCTATTTCGTGGGTTCTGTAAATGAGCGGTAGCAGAGCGGCAGTTCGCCACGGTAGTACCGCTCATGCGGTACTACGGGGCTAAATGTCTCTATACTACCACGAATTTATAGGACTTCGATGAGCTAAGCGGAAGTACCGTTGCTCTCCAAGGTAGTACCGCTTAAGCGGAACTACCGCTAGAGAGTACCGCTTATTTGCCTCGTTCTGTTGCGGTCTGTTCCACGAGCGGCAATAGGGCGGCCGTACCCAGCAGTAGTACCGCCTAGGGCAGCACTACCGCCCTACCTTCCTCTACTACCGCGGGTATTGTCTACTATTCATCTCCACGTGGTAGTACCGCTGGAGGGCGCGGTAGTACCGCTCAGGCGGCACTATTGTTCCCCTGATCTCTTCCCCGTCCTCTTCTTGCTCCTCCCCCTGAGTAGAGGAGGCGTGGGTATCCCTAGACTTGTTGTCCAACGGTTCCTTGGGGAGGAGGCCTTCTCGGGCCTCCCTCAACTCTGCTTCTTTTTCTCTTTTTTCTCTGGCGCCACGGTCAGCATTTCCCCTAGCAGGGCCGGCCTAGGGTCTTCGGGCAGCGGGGCTGGACCGTTGATCTGCTTGGCCTTCTCAAGCCAGCCCTGTGGAGGTGAGAGAGTAAGGGTTAGATCTCCTGTGGAAGTACAAACATCCGGACATAGAACAAATAAAACTTCATTACCTCCCTAGGAGGGTGCGCAGCGCCGATGTCTTCCTCCTTGGACGGTGGAAAAGTGTTTTCGTGGATGCCTTTGTTGGTTTGGGGATATGTGGGAATATATAGACGCAAAAATTAGGTCAGGAGGTGCACGACGGGCCCACAAGGGTGGGGGCGCGCCCTCCGACCTTGTTGTCGCCTCGTGGCTCCTCCGACTTCATCTCCAAGTCTCCTGGTTGTCTTCTGGTCCAAGAAAAATCATCGCGACGATTTTATTTCGTTTGGACTCCGTTTGCTATTCCTTTTTTGCGAAACTCAAAAACAAGAAGAAAAAAAACAGGAACTGACACTGGGCTCTAGGTTAATAGGTTAGTCCCAAAAATAATATAAAATGGCATAATAATGCATATAAAACATCCAAAATAGATGATATAATAGCATGGAACAATCAAAAATTATAGATACGTTGGAGACGTATCAGGAATGTACAATCAGTATGATGAAGCAAGAAAGAATCAATCACAGGCAACAAATGAAAGCAAGAGACAAGAAGGAACTAGCATGTGTAGTTGCGGTTGTCGCATTAGCCATGTGCTATGCCCTGTTTGCAATGATGATTAGGGGTTTTGTTTGACAGTATTGCTAAAGCACATCTAGATGTGCTCTAAGTAATGCACATCTAGGTCTTATGCCATTGATGTTACGCGAAGATTCGTGCAGATATTTTTCTTTGTCTTTTTTCTTTCCTTTGTAGTTTGATTATTACTAGCTTTCTCAATAAGAAGAGCTCAATGTATTGCTTGCCAACTGTCCTACTTCGTTCTTACTGGTACTGGTGCATAATCCCAAAACTCGTTCCTTTGTTTTTGTCCTGAAAAAAGAAACCAGCCAATAGGAGTCCTGCACAACCCCGAAAATTTGAAGCGACTGGGTACAAATAATTGCGGGTGATTATATCAGCGGTTGGATAGTACATCTACCCCTGCTTTAAGTGGCATTTCCTCTTCTCTACATACCCCGCTTAAGTGTCCACCATCTTCATCGTCCCTGGCAGGCCGCGCTACACACTAGCACACACTCTGCAGCCATGTCGAGCGACAGCGAGGACGATAGCTCGGCCAGCAGTCTGGTGCCCGATGATAGGTCAACACCGGAATCATCCCGCTCGTCTTCCATGAGTCCGGCGTCGAGCCCAGACCTCGATTATATCTGGGTCATGGAAGGGACGTTGTCTTCGGAGTCGTCAGTCGACAACCAGATGGACGAGGACCGTTGGAGGACGAAGAAGAGGACGACAATGATGATGAGGAGGAATGGTCGAAAGAGGAGGAGGACGACGATGACAGCAACGACGATGACGATGGCGGCGGCGATGAAAAGCCAACAGTCAGCGGCAAGAAGCGTCCTCGCCAAGACGATGTCGCGGGGCCATCCAACAACAACAATAAGAAGAAGGACTAAATTAAGCAGATTGTATATATCTGTGTTTCTGTTCGCTCATATTAATTTGTTATCTTTGTTTATCCTGTGAATCTCATCGCAGACGGTTAGTAATACATATCGCCCACATTATCGCCCACGGATTGGTTTGTGATACGTCTCCGTCGTATCTATAATTTTTTATTGTTCCATGCCAATATTATTCAACTTTCATATACTTTTGGCAACCTTTTATACTATTTTTGGGACTAACATATTGATCCAGTGCCCAGTGCCAGTTCCTGTGTGTTGCATGTTTTTGGTTTCGTAGAATATCCATATCAAACGGAGTCCAAACGGGATAAAAATGGACGGAGATACTTTTCGGAATATTTGGAAAATCTGGAAGAAAAATCAACGTGAACCAGTGTCCAAGGTGGGCACGAGTTAGGGGGCACGCCCCCCTAGGGCACGCCCCTGACCCTCGTGACCCACCTGTAAGGTGGTTGACGCCCTTCTTCGGCCGCAAGAAAGCTAATTTTCGAAAAAAATCACGGTGAAGGTTTCGTTCCAATCGGAGTTACGGATCTCCGGGAATATAAGAAACGGTGAAAGGGAAGAATCTGAGAACGCAGAAACAGAGAGAGAGACAGAGAGACAGATCCAATCTCGGAGGGGCTCTCACCCCTCCCGTGGCATGGAGGCCATGGACCAGAGGGGAAACCCTTCTTCCATCTAGGGAGGCGGTCAAGGAAGAACAAGAAGGAGGGGGGCTCTCTCCCCCTCGCTTCCGGTGGCACCAGAGTGCCACCGGGGGCCATCATCATCACCGCGATCTACACCAACACCTTTGCCATCTTCACCAACATCTCCATCACCTTCCCCCCTCTATCTACAGCGGTCCACTCTCCCGCAACCCGCTGTACCATCTACTTGAACATGGTGCTTTATGCTTCATATTATTATCCAATGATGTGTTGCCATCCTATGATGTCTGAGTAGATTTTCGTTGTCCTATCGGTGGTTGATGAATTGCTATGATTGATTTAATTTGCTTGTGGTTATGTTGCTGTCCTTTGGTGCCCATCATATGATTGCGCACGTGGATCACACCCTAGGGTTAGTTTTATGTTGATAGGACTATGTATTGGAGGGCAAGAGTGACAGAAGCTTCAACCTAGCATAGAAATTGATGCATACGGGATTGAAGGGGGACCAATATATCTTAATGCTATGGTTGGGTTTTACCTTAATGAACATTAGTAATTGCGGATGCTTGCTAATAGTTCCAATCATAAGTGCATAGAATTCCAAGTCAGGGATGACATGCTAGCAGTGGCCTCTCCCACATAATACTTGCTATCGGTCTAGTAAAGTAGTCAATTGCTTAGGGGCAATTTCACAACTCCTACCACCACTTTTCCACACTCGCTATATTTACTTTATTGCTTCTTTACTTACAACAGCCCTTAGTTTTTATTTACGTAATTGTCACATCCCTATTTCTGGTATGACCTAGGCTAGCCCTTCATGTTTGCATCATGTTTAAATTCCATATAAATTTGAAATGGGGATTTGTGAAACCCTCAGAAATCATTTCTGGAAATAATCCAGATAAAAATTTCTCCAAAAAGGTCCAAGAAAATGTTCATGTTACTCTCTGAAAATATTGGTCAGAGGTAAAAATCAAATCAATATTTTCAGGAGCTCATAAATATTTATTTTGGGCATTTGGAATTAATCCAGTATTTATTTGCGTTGGATAAGTATTTATATATATATAAGATATTATCCAAAAATTATGCCAGTTGTTGAGGAGCTCTGAAATAATACCATTAGCCCCTGCAAATTTGGCATAAGAAAATAAAATGGTTTAGTATTTTTTTTAAACCAAACAAATGTCAGAAAATTAGAAAAGAAAACAAAAAGGGAAAGCCTAC